AGATTTCTATACTTCCAAGTATTATTACAAAAATTCGCAGTAAATGTTTAACGTTTATATGACTTGAATGATGAGATCTAATTTTTTAAATTGCCAACAACTCGGATCTTGATCAGCGAGCTTGAAGCTGCTCGTCGGGGCACGGCTCTCAAGGCGATCCGGTGATTAGAAGCTAGTCACTTCTGTAACCTGTTGACTCCGTTACTTTCTTGAGTGGACATTCCACATTTTCGAATTCCACGAGGATTTCACTTTCCTCCGCGTCCGCATAATTGAAACATTATATCTTCACGTAACAGTTGAAATTAAGAATCTGTTCCTTCGTACGAAATCAATTTTAACGCGGAATAGACTTTCTCTGGCACAAATGGTGATCGAATTAGCGGCTGCTCAGTAATCGATGAGCTTCAGACTGGCCAGAAAGATTAAATAAATAATCGCGAGTGCTAATAATAAACCAATATTATCGTTCGAAAGGCGAGACAGCTTTCTCCGTTCACTGGTTCGACGTAAACTTAAAACACGTACCGTTCGAAGGGAGATGAAAGCAACGTGCGTTTAAAAATCTAATAATATTTATATTTGCTCTAATAATAATTAGCCACGTTAATACTCTACAATAAAAATATTTTCCATTTAAATAAATACAACCATAAAACGTAATGAAGTTAAGATATAAACAATTACTGTCTTCTTTAATAAAATTCTTGGAAGAAACAAAATTCTTTATGCATAAAAGATATTTGGAACTATGATTTATCGCATATTATGTTAAGACCTCGGTGACTCTATTGGGAGTCGAGTCAATTTCACGCTTTCCATAATCTCTCGCCACGTGATACGCACACCTTCGTTACGTAACGCGTCTCGAAAATTTCACTGAAGAAATCCAGGAGTGCGTCGAACAACATTCTATGTAAATACACTTAGGCAAAACAAACTTCTCAAAATCCGTGATTGACTCGAAACATATTTATTTATCTATTTGTCTACAATATTGGTATTACACCTTCTGTAGAATATTAATTAACGTCGAGTGGCTTACGACAAATTTTAATACAAACGGTAGAAGTGGTTTGCGTCAAGATCCAGTCTCTTTATTTAAACTGTCTCTTGAACTTCAACAATCGAGATAGGAAATGCTAACAATTCAAACACTGACGATGTCAGTAATTTTCAATTAAAATGTAAAAAATCATAAAATCATAAAAAATGATTGAAATACTTTTTTTTACTATTCTCTTTCGCAATGTCGAGGCTATAAGAAAGGTCGAAGAAAAATAACGAATTAATTATAGAGGGGACGAATCGAGTGAAGCGACAGGAAGATAAAGACAAGAAGGAAGAAAGCTTTGAGAGCGAGATTTGCAAGGACAAGGATGCCGGTGAATGGTTCAGGCTGGTTGCGGGCGAAGGCGACAACTGCAGGGACGTGATACAGTGCACCAGTTCCGGCCTCCAGGCGATCAGGTGTCCCGCCGGGCTTTACTTCGACATCGACAAGCAGACCTGCGACTGGAAGGACTCTGTTAACAACTGTAAATTGAAAAATAAGGAACGCAAGGCGAAACCCTTGCTCTATACCGAGGAACCGCTTTGTCAGGATGGTTTCCTGGCTTGTGGTGACGGTTCTTGCATTGAAAGAGGTCTATTCTGTAACGGGGAGAAGGACTGTACCGATGGATCAGACGAGAACATTTGTGGTAAGCAAATAATAGAATTTTCATTTATTATGTTCAAAATTTATATCGAATCAAGTTCATTAATTTATTAAAAAATAAGGGGAACGTAATGTTTAAAAATGTATTAAGATATTCAGTTGACTGACCATTAGATAATGTTAAAATATTGAAGTCGTTAATTGAAAATCAACAAAAATGGTTGGCTGCTTGTTTAACATAATTTGTAAGTAAAGGGTGGGTCCGTATAAAAAATTACAGACATGGACAACGACCCCAATAGGGCGCCACCCTGCGACCCTGTGGTCTGCGTTCTCCCTGACTGTTTCTGCTCCGAAGACGGTACCACAATTCCTGGTGACCTACCATCGAAAGACGTGCCTCAGATGATCACGATCACGTTCGACGATGCGATCAATAATAATAATATCGGTCTTTACAAAGAAATTTTCAACGGGAAACGCAAGAACCCGAATGGTTGCGAGATCAAGGCCACCTTCTTCGTATCACACAAGTATACTAATTACTCGGCCATGCAAGAAATGCATAGGAAAGGACACGAGATCGCCGTTCACTCCATCTCGTAAGCAATCTTAATTACCGTCAAACAAATATTTTATAATAAAAAAATATAATCAATCATTATCAGAAATCGTATGCATTGAAAAATATAGAAAGTCTATATATAACTTTTAAAAAATGAGATCATCACAGAAATTTTATTTTATATGAAGAGCTACTCATTTCTTATTTTTTATTTGATTTTTTAATCTCGGCATGGAAAATCTTATTTCATGTAATACGTTTGTCTCGACATCTGAAGTTAGTTTGTTGGATGAATGATTGTGTTTCAAGACACAATGACGACGAACGATTCTGGTCGGACGCGACGGTGGACGACTGGGCGAAGGAGATGGCCGGCATGAGAATAATTGCGGAGAAATACGCGAACTTGACGGACAACAGCGTGGTTGGCGTGAGGGCACCTTATCTGAGGGTCGGTGGCAACAATCAGTTTACGATGATGGAGGAACAAGCTTTCCTCTACGATTCCACAATCACCGCGGCCCTGAACAACCCACCGCTTTGGCCTTACACCATGTACTTTAGAATGCCACACCGATGCCACGGAAACCTTCAACACTGTCCTACAAGGTAACTTAATTAAATCTGAAAATTGCTCGGTACAAAAATTGTGCAGGAAATACTCTGTACTCTTGATTATATGACGTCGCGTTTATTATTGACTCGTATCATTTATTCAATAGGACTACTATTTTTCTGCCATTCAACATAGTTTTCCAATACAGTTTTTAATCAGTTATTTAATATAGATCTTTATACATATTTGGGATGATTTTAAATAATTTCATCTGAATAGAAAAAAATAGATTTATATAGCTTAATGGACTGAATTATTGAGTTGTATCACTCGTTTCGTAGTAACACTGTATCTATTTAAATGTGATCAATGGAATATTCAATCAATTAAATTGATCATAGTATCAATTATTTTAAAGCCATCTGCCTTAACTAAAATTGTATAAATAGAAATATCTCATATTGTTTAATGAATTGAATTCGGGAGATCTTCTGTTAATTATTTAATACGATATTTTGAATCAAGCAGCTGTATCATTAAACCCAGCAGCTCGATTCAAACCTATCAACCACGGAACTCTTATTTCCTCTGCCCAGATCTCACGCCGTTTGGGAAATGGTGATGAACGAGTTGGACCGTCGTGAGGATCCCCAGAACGACGAATACCTTCCTGGTTGCGCAATGGTGGACTCGTGCAGCAACATTTTAACCGGCGACCAGTTCTACAACTTCCTGAACCACAATTTCGACAGACATTACGAGCAAAACCGCGCCCCGCTGGGTCTCTATTTCCACGCGGCCTGGTTGAAGAACAATCCCGAGTTCCTGGATGCTTTCCTCTACTGGATCGACGAGATCCTGGCCAACCACAATGACGTCTACTTCGTGACGATGACCCAAGTAATTCAATGGATCCAGAACCCGCGGACCGTCACGGAATCGAAGAACTTCGAGCCGTGGAAGGAGAAGTGCATCGTGGATGGGCCGCCGGCTTGTTGGGTACCGCACTCGTGCAAGCTGACCTCGAAAGAAGTGCCGGGGGAGACCATCAACCTTCAGACCTGCGTACGTTGCCCCAACAATTACCCGTGGGTGAACGATCCGACCGGTGATGGATTCTTCTAAATCCGTTCCTTAATCTCTAAGTCAAACCCTTTGATTCATCCTCTTGCCTGTCGTTTCTGGCCGTTCACTCATTCATTTCTTGTCCCATTGGTCGATCACGAGTTTCAGGTGGACGCGACGTTTTCCAATGAACGATCGGGACCATTTTTCTTTGATTCATCGTAATTAGTTACATCGATGTGGACGAAATTGTCTCGGAACAGACTTGTCTGTATTAAATATCGCATTCGAATTCGATGCACAGGGTAAATCGGAGGAAGTAGTGATGGGTCCATAGAAAAATGGTCTCGATTGGTTTTTTAACGAGACGCGAGTCCGATGGTCGCGTCCGCCAATGATCTGTGATAAATTTCGAAACGGCTCGAGATTCAGCGACCAGGACGGCAAAACGACGTTCAGACAGATTATTATTATTATTACATCTAATTTCTGAAATCCTTGGCCCCGGAGAGAAACGACGGGAACGAAAACGCTGAAAGGAAACGAGATCCGAGTATCGTGTGTAATATAAACGCGTGACAGAATCCGCCCTTGGGATTTTTAGTTGGAACGGCGACCTGGTGTCCCGCTTGTCGCCCTTGAACCGAGGGCGGTCACCCTTACTTTTCTAAGGGTCAGCCAAACTTCTTATATATATATAAGTTTATATATATAGAAATATAAAATGTTGCGTATGTATATTTTTAAAGCTAAGTGATATCAGTTTAATAAAAAGAATACCTTTGACAAAAGACAAACGAATTACAATATTTCATTATTTTTTGTTCCCACTTCCTTCTAAATCGATACACGAAAAAGTTCGAACGTAAATAATGTAATGAAACTGACCGTGAGGAAGCCGAGTATAAAAATATCTTCGCTCGGTAAAAATTCGCGAAAGTCTTTTTGCTAATTAACGTTTCGCGGGTCACCTCGTCCGCCTCGAGGCGAAAATTGTTCGGTGAAATCGAGGCTGGCTCGAGGGTGGTTAAGATCAAGGCCAGTCTGTCAATGGCAGAACGTTGAATCGCGATTCGCCTCGGTTTTCGTCATCGGAAATTGGAACAGGCTCGCGTAGTCAGTGGTAGCCTGCAGTCTTTTAAACACGACTGCATTCTACAGGCTCGTGGCGAGAAAGCATTTCGAGGTTTTCATCAATTCTCGTTTCGCCGCGAGAACCGTATAATTTTGGAACGTTAAAATTTGTTGAATTCTTCGAGGATGAACGGTACGAAAGGAATTGCTCTTTTTCTCAGGATAAAAAGCGTCAGTACTGACAGTGAGATATTGCCCTTCCTGTATTAATACCAGTGAAATATTGCTCGAATGGAAATTGATAGTGGAGTGAAATACATATACATATATATACATATATATATGTGAAAAATGAAGGAAATGAAAAATGTATATATTATTCTGTTTAAACGAATTTTAAAATAAATTCAGTATGTATATTCATGCATTCCTAATCAGAGACACAAACTGACCAATCAAACCAATGCATAAAAGAGGGAAAACAATTTTCAAATCGAGCTACAAATTGCAAGAATTAAAAAGCAAATAAATTAGATAAAAACAGCAGTTAATAACACGGTAGCAGAGAACGTTGGGTAACGATAAAATCAGATTGATCGTCGATTAG